GGGGGGCCTGTCCCCCTGTCACCCGCCGGTCCCCAGGGAGCCCTGAGCATCCCCAGGGGAGGAGGAGGAAGGTTTTGGGGGGAGGAAGAGCCTCAGGCCCCCCAGGGCGGTGCCGCGGGGCGGGAGCCCCAGGCTAATGTGTTGAGAGGGGGATGAGTCCATAAGCTGTTAAGCCACAGCAAAGCCCCTCGTTCTGGCCCCATTATCACCGACTTCTGTTCACATCTGCTCCCGGGTTATTTTTATCTGGGAATTAAGGATTTCTGGGTCCTTAAGCAGGCAGAAGGGGGGCTCTGTTCGTGGGCCCCCCTCACCAAGCTGGAGCCACGTTTTGTGGGTGCAGAGGTGCTGTAAGACCCCAACCCCAGAGCTGTTTGGGAGGGAGAACAAGGACCTGGGATCACCCCTCCCTGCCCTTGGCAGAGGGTCCCACACTGGTCCCAGCAGGATGGTGGCACTGGGGAAAGGCCAGAGGGAAAACCAAGGGGATGCTGCTGCTGCTGCTGCTACCAGGGATATAAAAAATAAGAGAGATTTATTAGCCTTGAGTAAAGTGCAACCTCAGGGTAGTTTTACAGGCAGGAACCGTGTGAAAACCAGGAGAAAAGCTCCAAGCAGACCTGGAGGAGAAGGGGGAAAGAAGCCCCTGAGGAGACTGGGCTGAAAGGGTATGGAAACTGTACAGAGGGGAAAACATCAGAAAAAGTATTTACTGTTCAAATTGAGTACAGGTAACGGGAGGCTGGAGGCTCACAAGCCTCCCCAGGCTGAGGAAGAGGGGCTGAGGGGAGACACACGGGTGTCCATGAGGAGTTGGGGGCTGCAGAGCTGGGACCACCCTCGGGGCAAGAGCTGTGGTGGGACCACCAGCCTGGGTGCTGCTGCCCCATCCCAGCTGGGACAGGGATTCATCAGGGTTTCCAGTGGTGAAGGGCAGGGAGGATTTAAGGAATGAGCCCGGGTTTTACCTGGCTGTTTCTGCTACAAAAAATCAGCAGAGACTAAACACGCTGATGAGACTCCAGAGATCCCAGGGATCCCGGACTGGGGGATGTGGCTCCTGCACTGGTGTCCTCACCCGGAGCCACTGGTCGGCGATCAGCAGGGCCCGCTGGGCTGGGGAGGAGGGAATCCCAGGAATCCCACCGCGGGGTCCAGCGGCACCGCCTCCCTGGCTCCAGCGGGAACCGGCTCCGGTTACAACGCGGGGGGTTTTCCTGCAACTGCCCTGAAACCCCCGGGGAGCCCCGGGCTGAGCTGTGCCCCTCCAGCTTGTGACCCCCCCAGCAAAGAGCCCAGAGCCGATGTGGCTGCGAGAGCTGGTGGGTCCGGCCCCTTTCCCACCCCGGAGCCCGTTCTGAAGAGATTCCCTGGGGCAGGACGGGGCCGCTCACCCCAGCGCCTCGTTGAGCACAGCTACTGGGAGCGCTGGTGGTGAATGGTGCTGTTCTGAAGGGCAGAGCCCCTCACAGAGGGGGAAGAGGCTGCATCGTCCTGGGACACAGCCACGAAAGCGCTGCAGGGCCCTCTTGACACCTCGGCCTGCAGGTCTGGCACGGAGAAGGCTCCTACTGCCTGTCTGTCTTGACGTGGTCTCCAATCATCCTCCGGTGATACGTGGCCAGGAAGATGTCGTTGTCTCTGGGGCAGTCGTAGTGGCAGGAGCACATCTTGATGAACATCATCTTCCTCCGGAAGAAGTCCCCCTCGGGGCAGCGGAACTCCACCTCCAGGGTGATGCTGAGGAAGGGGGTGCAGCAGCGGGCGGCGGGGGCGGCGGCCCAG